TAATAGTTTTTAAAGTATAACTAAAGGCAACACTTTTTTTAGAACCACTGCCAGCTTATTATTGCTGTTTGTGTCCCTGTTAGGGAGATTTGCTCTCCCTATTTGTCCTGATCAACAGTGTCATTGGAAATAAAAGTGAGGGTAAATCCAAAAATGTTAGTTGCCACTAGAACAGGAGTAGAGGGGGTATTGAATGGACACATGTCCCTGTGACGGCTGTCCAAGATATTCTCTCATTTCCTGTTGTATCTACTGGAAGGAAGGAAGTAAAAGGGAAATCTCCCTAAAAAGACACAGAAGGCAAACAGGAAAAAACATTACAGCGGTTAAAAAGGTTCTGTGACTTTTTGTCTTGTGCAAACCTCATTTTTTTGTGATTTGTATATTTTAATTGCAAACATAAAAAAAAGCTTTTAAAACTTTGTAATGCGGTTCTGCGAAAAGCAGAGAGCCTCCCAAGTAAACTAAGTTCTAATTAATAATAATTGACCTATAAACAGAGTATGAAAAATGTGGGAATGTTGACAAATTGGATTTGACATTGGAGCCAATTGCAATATCAGTTTTCCTGATTGGGGCTGCAATACTAATGTCTATTACATTGCTGTGCAATATTGTACCTGAGGAAATGATCTAGCTAGTCCCATTTCTGTCATATGTGATATGTTAAATGTAAACAAAGCTTTATCTTAGCAGCAGAACTACTTTTTTTTTACAGAATTAAATTTGTATTAACAGAATTTTACATAGACAGGTAATATGAAAATACACACACACAGTGCATGAAACATCAAAAACAAAAAGGAACACAAATTAACCAAGAATGCACAAATAAGTCCCCATTGCTGCACCCAGGGTACAGCAAACCACAAAATAAATGCAAGCAATGCACAGTTGTTTCAATTGTGTGAGGCCCCATAGATAAACAAAGGTAAAATCACAAACAGGCCCCAGAGACTCATAATACACTCGTGATACAAAAGGCATTGTGCAGTAGTATAAGGTAACCAAGGTGCAGGAGGGGAATAGCTGCCAGAGCTGTCAGACAGAAAGACCTGAACATGAAAGACCAACTATAAAGAAAGAACACATAGAGAGAAAAGAAAGAGAGGCAGAAAGGTAGGGAGGAAAAAATGAGGGGAAAGAGGGGAAGGGGATGTCAACCCAATATCCACCACAAGAACTCCAAGAATCCACACAGAAACTCAACTAAAACAATAGAATCATCTAAAATAACCCAGAAGCTCATTTCAGGGTCTGCTAATCCTCTGAGACCAGAAATAAGATCCAAGGCATCCATCGGGTCAAAAAGACATCAGAACGGTCAGTCCGTTCCGCTATCAGCTCTTCTGCTCTCATCAATTGGCACAATTCTGCAGTCCATTTTGAGACTGAGGGAACTATAGAGCAATTCCAATGCTGCAGAATTAAGGCCCCAGCGGCGTTGATGAAAAAAATCGAGGAGGCGATTTCTTTACTCGGAGATGGGGCTCGTAAAATAGACAATAGAGCCATTTTAGGAGTAATATTAAACTCAGTAGAGGTAACCTTCGAGTAGACGTGTCAGATGGCCCGCCAAAAGGGCAAGGTCAGAGGGCAACTCCACCAAATGTGAGATAAAGGAGAACTATGAGGTGAGTGATTTACACTCATCCTAATAGAGACGACGTGTGACATTAAAACTGTCACACGTCTAATCTATTGATCTGGAAGTGAGAGAACACATACCATCACTTGCTCACTTCCCGATCCTGTCCCTGCAGAGAGCGGTGACTGTCCGTTACCGCTTTCCACAGTGATTACCCATCTCTGATCCTCCAGCGCTGAATGGAGGAGTGGATGGGGGATGAGGCGGGCACAGTCCCGGCTGCGGCGCTCTCAAAATCGGGAGCCACAGAAGGTTTGTCAAGTGGGCGGGGAATAGGTTCTTCTCAAGGAGTACCCAAAGTGCAAGATCTTGCGAATGAAACCACTCAACCAAGTGAGACAAAAGAGTTAGCCCTATAATAGATCTCTAAATCAGTAAGGGTTTCTTCCTCCTTGTTAAAACAGTATATCGTAACCTGGGTCTCTTACCTCTTGAAATATACTGCAAAACGGCCAATTGCATCCACCTAAGGAAATGAGTAGGATGGGTTATGGGAAGGGTTTGGAAGAGATACAAACATTGTGGGAGCAAAAGCATCTTGAACAATGCAATTCTGCCAAACCTGGTGTGATGAAGGTTCATCCAAGAATGAAGTGTATCCTCCACAGATCGCAGCAAGGGGGCATAATTAAGGGGGCAGAGATGCGATAAGTTGGAAGGTATACGGACCCCTAAATAAGTAATGCAATTGGATCTCAGAGTAAACGAGAAATAGTTATAGTTAGTCAGGTTGAAAAAAAAAGTCCATCGAGTTCAACCTATACAGATAAGCGAAGAAAAAAAGAAAATCCTAAAACAGAACTCTGTGCCCACAGTTACCCACTGTTGATCCAGAGGCAGGTTCGTTCCCGGGCGGGTTGCAAGAGCTCTCACAACACACGTCTGGCCACACCCAGCAGAACTGCATTTTACTGCAATTCATGTAGAGCAGCCTTTCTCAATTTTATTACCTCTTAGTTACCCCCTGAAATAATTCTAAACCTTCAAGGAATCCCTGCTAAACATGATTGTATCCGGAGAACAAGGTGCATTAGTGTGATCAGTAGGTTGCTAAAATGTTAAACAAAAAAAAGAATATGGTGCACATAGAATATTTGAGTCCCACCGCAGATCATTTGTAACCCCCTCCTGCTCTATATACCATAAAAACATATTTTCAGTAATAATTATGAAGTGAAACAAATAAAAATCGCCATGAACCGAAAATAGACAATGAAAACTATAGTTTTTACTAGGGAGCAGTAGGGAAATGCCCCCTTATGGTGGTGGTCAGGGGAAAAGCCTTCTGAAATTGGTGGCAAGTTGAAAATACTGCCCCAATGGTGGTGGGTGAAGGTGGAATCTGCCGCTGTTTAAGGAACCATCAGCCTTCTTTGGTGGAATGTTAGTTGAGAAAGGTTGGTATAGAGATATATTATGGACGGATGTAGAATAAATGTAGGTGATATTTTGTACATATTTGGTTTACAACTTCTCCAGAAAGCAATTGATCAAATCCTGTCTACTTGAAAACATGTCAAATGTGCTATATAGTGCTATTATTTTAAGAACTGCACTCCTTTACACAAAGTGTACACACAAACAGTTAAGCCCACTGTGTCTTTCTGAGATTATAATGCAAATGTAAAATGCATAAAGGAATGAAATATATTAGTGCTACAACAATGTACCATCTAGTACAACATCCCTCGAATAAACAGCTTGCTAAGGCTTGATTATATTGTGATGTTCACACACAGTAATGAAGGAATGTGACAGAATATTTCCATGTTACTTTCTAATACATTGCAGGATATTGTAGACAGACATGGTATTACAGATTTGCAAAGAAGGCCTTGTCATTTCATTTTGCTAGGCTTATTACCTCATGTTGATGAATAGATCTTCCAATGAATATATTACAGAAAAACCTTGCTGGCTTAGTGGAAGGACTTAACATTTTACATTAATCGAAAAAAACACAGGGCAAAACAAACAGGATCGAGAGGTGAGCGAACGCCGGTATATGTTCACTCACCTCCCGATCTATTGAGCCGACCTGTGACAGTCTCATTGTCACAGGTCGGCTAGAACTATGAGGTGAGTGAAAAGCACTCACCTCATAGTTCTCCTTTAAGAGACTGTGGGCCAAGCTTTTTTGGCCATAGTTCTCTTTAGGGCCAGAGGAAGACATTTACTATGTCCTCCTGTGACCCAAAACTCAGCATATAGCGTGCTATTGCCCGCTATATGCTGACAGCACGGAGCCACACTGTGACCAGGAAGGATCCCATCAATATTGTCGGGATCCCCCCGCCACCTGATTGACAGCTGGCTCTGCTCCTAGCTGTGCCTGCCCATTCCCCTGTTCATCCCTCCAATCATCGCTGGAGGGGGGAGAATCCTTGTGGGGAGTGATAACTCACAGCCACTGCTCTGTACAGGGAGATGATGGGGAACTGAGCGATCAGTGGTATGTAATCGATTAGTTCTCGATAGAGCCGGCGAGTGACCGCTTCAGTGTCACAATTCGGCTCTGATTATGGGGATGAGTGTATTTTTCACTCTCCCCAGAATTCTCCTTTAAATAATTTTCCTTAAACCTGATACATGTATACTATTTGCTACATATTTGTAGGATGCTGTACGTGCAGAGGAGAACAGTGCAGAAATAGGGAAAGTTTTTGAGCTAACCCAAAAATAATTCTGTTCATGCTTTTGTAATTGAATAATGTATTTTGTAATTGTTTCTCTTACACTTTGTCCAGTTATCAGTCAATCTGCATGCTTTCAGATTTGTTATTGGATGATCTTCATTGATTTGTACTAGGGATGTCCCGATGCCACTTTTTCAGGCCCAAGTACAAGTACTTCCCCTCATGTACTTGCCGATACCAATTATGTATACTTTTTCTTAAAGGGACAGGAACTTTAAATGACCCATAATACAACTACGTGTTCTGTACTATGGATCATGATTTAACCTATTCATGTTTGCAGCGGAGAATTGTAACTCTATTACTGGAGTGTAGTGGAGGTATGTGCTGTATATATGTACTACATATACATTGCACACGTCCAGTACACAATAGCAATAGATTTACAGCCAGCCCCGTCCCAGCTTCCCTCACTCACAGTTTCACGCCGATCCCTGTTGCCTCACGCGGTGTGTGGCTTTGGGCAAATATAAAGTATATATTTTATATGTATTATAAAATATATTTATTTATACACTTTTTAGATTTTGATTATTTTTCTTCCCATCTACCTCCTTTTTACCCAAGCTTTTTTATATTTTTGTAATTTTAAGTTATTTTAATTTTTTCTTGTATATTGAAAAGATAGTGTAATGTTTATTGTGCTTAATATATAGATCTCCTTGAAAAGTCCCGGGTTGTCAGGCAACCAAGAGGTGAAAGAAATTTCCACGTATTTTATCAAATGTTGTCTGGAGCCTCTGAAGATCTTCTCAGTAAGTACATCAAAGCTATAACAAATTTTGTGACATGAAAAATCACATTTATGGTGCCCATGCCACTGAGCACTGATCTGATCAGGATGCGGACACTTTGGAGGACCTCCTGGGTCCCCCATAACTCTCACTGCTTCTTCCCTCCTTCTGACCTCACATCACTGCTTCCACAGTGATGTTTTGTCAGAGGGAGGAACCAGTCCGCATTTCGGGGGACCCAGGAGGTCAGCACTCAATGTTTCCCAGCTGTGTTTTGGGGAAGAGAATTGGTTATCGGAACGATGTTTAACGGTGTGGGTACCAAAAAGGAAACTAATTACACTTTTCTGACAGCTTTTACAGATACTTTCTTCATGAGAGGGTCACTTTAATTGTCAAAATAGAGTTTAGATCAACCTTACATTTTATTAAGGGCACCAAAGAACTTTAAAAAAAACAAACCAAGTCTGACTCCTTGCCTCATCTAATATGTTGGAAAGCACTGGTCTGAAAAACTGTCCTATTCATTGTGTGCTCTGGATTGCTTTTATAAGGCTTTCTCACTCCCACCTCTGTCCCTCACTCTAGGAGGGACAGAGGTGGGAGAAGAGGGGGTGGTGTTTGCATTTACGTAAAAAATAATCTATATGTGCATATAAGGGACGATATCACGTCAAATAATGGGGAAGACGTGGAAACTCTATGGCTGGAGCTAGATATGACGGACGCTAGCCGTAAACTTCTCGTGGGTATTTGCTATAAACCTCCAAATATAGGGGAAGAGGGAGAAGTCAATCTTCACTCACAGATAGGAATAGCTGGGAGAGAGGGCAATGTAGTCGTAATGGGTGACTTCAATTACCCAGACATAAATTGGGCCAATGGAACTTCGGGTTCGGCAAAGGCGGGGCGATTTCTAAACATGTTGCGCGACAACTTCATGGACCAGATGGTGGAGACTCCTACCAGAAAAAATGCCATCTTAGATCTAATTGTCACTAATAATGCAGAGTTAATCGAGGATATTGTAATTGGGGAGTCATTGGGTAATAGTGATCACAATGTGATTACTTTTAATATTGAACACAGAAAAGGGAAGTGTACTGGAAGGACTAGAACCCTAAACTTCAGAAGGG